AGTCCTTTCCCCTAGGATGACAAGGTGGACCCTCTTCCTAGCAGCCTACTCCTACAGACTTATACACCGCCCGGGTAAAACACTGTCCCACGCTGACGCTCTCAGTCGCTGCCCCTTGCCGGCTCCGGCTGAAGACCCTGCTCCTGTCCACGCTATTTTCGAGATCACCCAGTTGGACCTACCCATCACTGCCCTTGACATTGCTGCTAAAACCAAGGCAGATCAAACGCTCGCCCAGGTGCTCGACTGGGTGAGGAGGGGGTGGCCAGGGGGCAATGTTGAAAACAAATTCACACCTTTCAAGACTCGCATGCAGGAGTTGTCCAGTTTGCAGGGCTGTCTACTATGGGGCACTCGAGTGGTCATCCCGACCTCACTGCGTACCCGAGTTCTGGAAGCGTTGCACGAGGGACACCCTGGCATCGTGAGAATGAAGGCATTAGCACGCAGCTACGTGTGGTGGCCGGGTCTCGACGAGGACGTTGTCAATTGGGTAAGTTCCTGCAGCATTTGCCAGGAATCCCGTCCTGCTCCCCCCATTGCCACCCCTACTAGATGGGAAAGCGCCAGCGCTCCTTGGTCCAGAATTCACATCGACCTGGCCGGCCCCTTGCATGGGAAGATGTTCCTAGTGGTCGTGGACGCCTATTCTAAATGGATTGACATAGCACAGCTATCCACGACCACCACACTAGCAATCACCAACGTGTTAACACGCCTGTTCGTAACGCACGGGCTACCCAACTCCATTGTCTCCGACAATGGCCCACAGTTCGCATCGACCGAGTTCAGCCGTTTCGTGGCCAACCTGGGCATCCGCCACATTTTCACAGCCCCATTTCATCCTGCCAGTAACGGATTGGCTGAAAGGGCCGTCAGGACCACTAAAGAAGCCCTGGCTAGGTTCAGCAGGGATGACTGGCACCACAAACTCTCGCGGTTCCTGATGAGCCAGCACTCAACTCCTTGCTCAGCCACCAATAAGTCCCCAGATGAGCTCCTGATGGGCAGGCGCCTGAGGACTGTATTGGACAGACTTCACCCACAATACTGCCCTGACTCTCCCCTCGCTTCCACATCGGGGGTTAGACATTTTATCTTACAGGAGCCAGTATTCGTGAGGAACTTCGCTGGAGACCCCCTGTGGATCCCGGGCGAGATCGTAGCCATCACCGGACCGCGGTCGTATCGGGTCAGACTAGAGGATGGCCGCGTCTGGAGAAGGCACATAGACCAACTGCGGAGGCGCCTCAGCACCCTCGCCAGCAGGGATCCAGAGTCACACGATGAAGGGAGACCTCATCTGCAGCCCCACATCCACATCATGCCCGGCGACCAGTTCACACCAACAGCCGATCCCGAAGGCCCGAACACGGACAGCGGCACCCAGACGGTTGACCAGCCCAATCCAGTCTACGGGAGCACATCCCCAGGGACCAACCCTACGAGCCCCGGGCATGCCCGAACCGAGGGGCATACTGATGACACTTTGCTGGCTCTGCCTTCCCAGGCAGACCCCGAACGGACAGACAGTGTTCCAGAGCTGCGCCGCTCCGGGCGCCAACATAAACCTCCTGCCTACCTCAAAGACTATGCGTGTTCGCATCTGGGGGGAAGGGGTGTTATGTCCTGAGAACTCTAGGAGTTCTCACTCAGGTCCACTCACTTTGCGTGGGCGTTCTTCCCTTCACTCATTGGTTGGTTCTCCACAGCAGCCAGCTATAAAAGCAGGCTGCGGGGTCCCACCAGTTGCTGATCGCTGCGAGCCAGTTTCCAGGCGTGGCAAGCACGGTCAGCCCTTTATTGTTATAATAAAGTATTGTTGCACTCATGCTCTGGTTCAGCCTCTCTTTTCCCAAACTTAACAGGCACTGTCCATTCCACCTTGTTTTACCTTATCAAGAAGCAGGTTGTGGTCTACTTTGTCAAGTGCTTTACTGAAGTGCTTTACTATATATTATGTCTGCAACATTTTCCTGACCCAGTAATCCACTAAAAGGAAAAAAAAAAAAGATTTGTCTGGCATAATTTGTTTTTAACAAACCCATGCTCACAAATCTGTCTCTTGATTATCTTTTCCAGGATTTTCCCAGGTATTGATCAAGCCGATTGGCCAATAATTTCCTGGACCCATTTTCTCCCCTTTTTGTAGATAGGAACCACATCAGCTCTTTTCCAGTCTCTTGGTAGTTCCCCTGTGCTACAGGAGCTTTGAAAGATTAAATTCAATGAGTAAAAAAAAGGAAAACTTAAAAAAAAAGACGAAGTAAGCTATTAGCTAAAATTGATAGGCATCTCAACAGTTCTGCAAAAAGCCATAGGAATGGCTTTGAAATGAATATTCTTAAGTTGTTTCAGGAACAATAAAAGAGAAGTGCTCCTTTAAATTTTGGGAAAGGAGATGCTATTAGGAAGACACTCAGAGTGTTTTTCTCTGGCTCAATGGGAAATAAGAGGGAGGGAAATACAATACAAGCAGATTTACAAAATTCTTTTTCTATAGCTTATCTCAATAAACCTGTGGTTTCTAATGTGGACTATCAAATGACTTATTTATTTTATTAAATATACATGTGATCCATCTCACTAATGAAGCAACTCTGGGCAGCTTACAAAATAGATTAGCTGTGCCTGCCCTAAATTTTGGAGAGGTTTGGATCTATTTTTCACATCTTTGTAATTTATTATTGTTAGTCCTCTTATTAAACCTATTACGTTCCATAACAAATCCTGCTGAAGAAATTATAAAATCATCGTATACTCCCAACAATCAAAACAGTTCTGGGAAGCAGCAATCATTGGGTGTGGAAGGACGGTTCATCTCTGTGTTGCCTTGGCCATACAAATGGCTTTACCATACTAGCTGATTTTCATACTGTGACCTTCTTTTCAGTTTTCTTTTCCCTTGGCAACTCTTAAGCTTTGTTCACATAATCGTTACAGTGAGTGATGAGATCAAACCAGGGCAACACAATATAGTTAACTTTTGCTAGATAATAATATGAAGAGCTGCAGGAAAGGAGTTTTTATTAGTCTTAATTCAGCAGGTATTGATTGGGGTGGAGAAAGAAAATGGTGGATCAATATATTAGAAAATAAATGGCAGATGTAGAAAATGTAAATCAAAGCTCTGTTTTTTATAATCTAAGAAACTATGAGTGCCCTTTACAGTTTCACTACATCACACCAAAGAGAGTTTCAGAGAGCAGTAATTTGTTTCCGTTATTAATATAATTTCATTTGGGAATGAAAGACTAGAAAAAAGAACCATTAGCTTCTTGTCACTTATGGGAAGGAAATTAGAAATGCTACAGATTTGACACTCAAAATATAATTACACCTTAATACCAGAAAGGAAGAAAAATTGATAATTCCATAACCTCAACAGAGAGATTGACAGATTAAAATAAATTCATCTAGATGCAAACTTCATTGCAGTGTAATATGATTTTTGCTTTCCTCTGAGTTGTACCAAAATTTAGTAATTCTTTTTGACTTGCCAAACACACTTTATACATTGCTGGTGGCTTTGATTAAGAGGTACCTATCTATTTTGCCAATATTCAGCTTTATTTTATAGTTTTAATAAAAAGACAGGATACCATATATCAGGAATAATTAGCTCAAACCACTTACGATTGTTGCAGCATCCCATAATCATGTGATCAAAATTCAGTTGCTTGGCAACTGATTCATATTTATGACAGTTGCAGTTTCCCAGGGTCGTGTGATCACCTTTTGTAACCTTCTGACAAGCAAAATCAATGGGGAAGCCAGATTCACTTAACAACCAGGTTGTTACTAAGTTATACTAAGTTATTAACTGCAGTGATTCATTTAACAACTGTGTCAAGAGAAGTTGTAAAATGGAGTAAAACTCACTTAACAAATGTCTCACTTAACAATAGAAATGTTAGGGTCAGTTGTGGCCATAAGTTGAGAACTACCTGGAGTACTTTGGTGTAGTGTATAGTCTAGAAACCAGAAGACTATGAGACCTAGACCTCCTTTAGGCATGAAAACTGGTTGGATGACTTTGAGCCAGTCACTCTTTCTCAATCTGCCCCACCTCACAGGGGCAGGTGGGTCTCTGGAGGCCTTGAGCTTCTAAATCTACTGGTTCCACACTCTCCTCCTCATCCCTCCAATCATGACGCAGTCACTTATTTTTTGGGTAGGTCTTTGGGAAACAGCTGCTCTACTATGTGGCCTTCCTACCCAGTGGAGACCGTGTGGTGCTATACCAGAAGGGGATACCATTTTGGGAGCAGATGGAATGAATTGTAGCTGCTCCAAAATGGCACCCACTTCCAGGAAGGTGCCACATAGCCTCCACTTGTAGGGAGGCCAAGAGCAAGCTCTCCTTCCCAAACACTATCTCTTTTGATAGAATCTTCATGTAACAATAACATTTCTATCTGATGATTATTGGTTTGTGATCTGCTGTGGAATTGCATTTTCTGTTGTAATTTTAACCTAATCATGATCTAATCAGCTCTGAATTTATCTCCTTCAAAACCTTACATTTGCATTTTAGGTATTTAAAACTGATTTTATTTCAGGGTTGCTTTATTGTTTTAATAATACATTTTGATTTTGTTTATCATCTTTGAGATTGGCCTGCCTCCCACAGGAAGAAAAAAAGGACTGAAATCTCTAGTCACATGTTTACTTAATACATAGAAAGACGACTATTGAATTTAATTTGCTTTTTGTATTTTTTAATCACCAGAAAAAGGTTATGAAAGCTTCCTTCTGACATAAGAAAGTATAAGTGAACACCATTGATGTGACCCCTGGAGGATATAGTATCAACTGGAAGTCATAAGGTTCTGACCAAAGCAGGAAGTGGGGCCATGGGGAGGGGACCAGAGGACTTCTAGAAGAAATTCTAAGTCATGTGGATTTCTATCTTGTAGGATCCATTACTCTGGAGTTCTGGCATTACAATGGAGTTCTGTAACTAAACATTCTATCCCTTCCTTTATTTTTATTTTTAGGGATGCGGCAGGGAAATGATGTTGGGACACAGTATCGGTCTGCTATCTATACAGTCACCCCAGATCAAATGGAGTCTGCCTTGAAATCTAAAAATGATTACCAAAAGGTAAGGATAAAGTGCTTCCAGGTCACCTTACAATATTCAGATTGAGAAAAGCCATTACAACGTATCCTCTCAACTTATGTCTACAATTGGAACTGGAGTCTCAGTTGTTGAGTGAGGTAATTAAGAAAGACATCCACATGACACCACTTTGCTCAATGACTTCAATCCCAGCTCTCCCTGTTTCAGTTGTTAAGCAGATAGAGCGAAACAGCTGCCCTCTGAAAAAGGGAAGACAGCTCCTCTTCATGCATGGAGGTGAACTTATGTGCCAGTCTGGAGAAATGAGTCAGGGGCCGTGAAGATTATTATTTTGTTTCTCCACGACAGTGCACAGGTTCCTCTCTCTTCTGTGTACAGAAGGGAACTCATGCACTGAGCTAAAGAGATGAGATGATGGGGATTGTGCAGCTCCACAAAGGATTTCTGTACCTTTTCCTGCCACGCATGGAGGAGAGGGGATTCTTTGGCATGTCGGTAGCAGCTTGCAACCTTCCCTATCAGCTTCTCCATTGGCTTTCTGGCAGAGAAGATTGGAAATGATGATCACATGACCACAGAGCACTTGGCAGTCAGTTATAATATGCACATGCTGCCCAGCACCCAAATCACGAACACAGGGGTGGAAGTACTTGACAGAATGAAAAGCAGCCTTTCATGCCATCATAACTTTGAAAGGTTGTTAAACTACCAGTTGTATACCATGCTCTACCAGTTTTGTAACCACTAGCCCAAGGATGGGCAATTAATTTTCCAAAAGGGCCAGATGAGAAACTGGGACTCTTGTGTAGGATTGCTGCTGCTCCACCCACCACTGCCAACGCTGCCCCCAAAGCTGCTCTCCTCTGCCAATACTGCACTGATACTGCACAATACTGCACTGCAATGCTGACACTGTTCTACACCCCACCCACCAATGCTGCCTTGCGGTTGACACTGTTGATGGCCGCTGCCTGCTGTCAATGCCATGTGCTTAGGACCGCCTGTGCCCACGGGCGATAAAATGCTCAGGTTTGCATTAGTCCGTACTTTGCTGAGAAGAGGGTTTTTTTCGACTCATTGAAGACTAGATACCTATTTTATTTCCAATCTCACTGTTAAGGTCAGTGTATTTATATCAGATATTGTTTTGGCATTGCTGTACTTTTTCATGCTATCATTCATAATGAGGAGAAACTCCATTCAGAACCATGAATATCTTCCAGTATTGTTTGCTGTCTTTGAATAGCTAATAGCTGGAGACTCTATAAAATATGTGACGACTGACATCATTACCTTTGTGTTTTCTTTCCGCAAAGGATAGCGAGCAAAGTAAAATATCAGCAGGAAGATTTGTTGGCTAATGATTTCACATCAGTTAGATATAAAGAAAAAAAGAATGGAAGAAAGTGACAAAACATGTAACTCTCATAATTGCGAGCTTGAGTTGTTTATTCACTTGAGAACAATTTTACTTTATGAAATAGTATAAAATATTTTATATTTACATAGTTAGAAATGTAGGATATTTCCAAATCAAGCTCCCATACAGTTGTATAAATCAAGTCAAGTGACACAATAAACTCTAAAATTCATATACTTGTTTTTGTATTTATCCTGAAAATATTGAGTATATCTGAAATAGCAGAGATAGCAGCAAGTAGTGGCATGGAAAAAAATGGTGGTCTGCTACTATATTAATGTCCTTTTCCAAACTCTTCTTCTCATTACTTTCCAGTGAATTATAAACTTTATTCTAAGGAATACCTGCATCATTATTATTCATTTCCCCTCCCAAGAGGACTAAGGATGTTTCTCATTAATTTATATTGTTTTCTTTCCTCTAGTTCTATGTGCAGTTTTTGGGAGATGGGTTTAAGATTGAAAAATATCTGGGATTTTCCCCCTTGCCGCAGAAAATCTTTTCCTATTGTATACTGAAATGAAATTTTTTAAAAATGGGGGAAGGCTGGCTGTATTTTGAGACTGTCAGAATATTCTGTAAAGCATATTAAGTTTACATTTTACAAACTAGCAAACTTGAGTCTCACTTTAGCACTCAGATAACTGAGTTTTGATGCCAGCAACGCTTCTCCACTTCGTCCTGGGCTTAGACCACAGCTGATCAAGCTATCATTGTCTGTCTGTTTTGGTCTGTCAACTTGGAGAGAGAAGTATTGTCTTATGACTGACTGTTATAAGGTCATCTGTGATCTTAACAACATGCCGGTATTGATCCTTTAATCAGAAGAAGCTGCTCAAATTGTGAGACTTTTTTTGTTTATCTATACTTTCCTCTCTTTCCTGCTGTTTTATTCTTGATGTGGTAGTTTTTTGTACGTAAATTTTATGGGTAGGTATTTGACCCATTTAAATGGAAAGAATTAAGAGGTTTTCAGAAAAAAAAGGTTGAAGTAGTTCCAGGCATCCTAATCAGATCCTTTCTGCATATCTCTTTTTCTCAATATAGCTTAATGTTTTACATCTTAGTTTCTCCAGTCACATGCAAGAAGCTTTTAAAAGGTCAGATCACTGACAATTATTCATGTAATTTTTTACATTATCAATTGTGTCTATCGAATTTAAATAATATGGACTACAATTCAGAAACAAGTCTTATTGAGATTGAAAGAATTTTGCCCTGGGGATTGGCAAGATAGGATTTAAGCTTTAGATATTTAATTCAAGTCAAGTTATCTCTCTAATCTGGCTGTTTTAAAATCAATTATGTATGTTCAATCTGTAATATTCTGTGAGCAACTTCTATAGACAGTTATTTCATTTGGTTGTTGTTTAGTAGATTTAAAAGCACAATGGGGATCTGCCACTCATTTTATACAGTTAAATAAAATAAGCTTTATGTGGGTATTCTCCCTCATTGATGTAGTTTTTCCTACCCTAAATCCAGAAATAGGAGTCTCTGCAGAGTTATGCTGTTGGTCTCTTGCCTTTAGAAAACTTTGGAAAATATGAAATTTGCCACATAATTGTTTTGGATAGTTCCTATAGAGGAAAGCAGGCACATAGGTACATGTTTTATCTATGAAGTATTTGTTTATTGTTTCACAGGTAGTGTTTAGGTTTTGTTCATGTATCATCTTAATCATATTCTTATGTCTAATTTACTCTGTGTTCTATTTATTTTCTATAGATCTATTAATTTATTTACAAAACTGTTCAGTATTTTTTCATCATTTGCAAAATAGAGTGAGTCCAGCTCACATACACAAGTGGATGCCAAAAAGATACAAATTCCCAGTCCAAACACATGATTAGGATAAGTCAGGATTCAAGTGCTATAATTGACTGGGGTTTGAATTGATGGGCCATTTGCTGTAAAAATGCAAAGTTATGGCATGAACTGAGAAGAAAAGGAGGAGATGTGTACTTGCAAAGCCTCCATAACAAAAATAAAGGAAGAGGGAGTATGGACAGGTGGAGCCCCTTCCAATGTAGAAAATAAGAGCTAAGACAGAGCCAATAGAAGACTTGCTAAAGTCTTCTATGATGCCTATTAGTTAACTTTTAAGAATAGGGTTGAAGTAGAGCTAATAGAATACTTGTTAGATAACTTTTGAAGTATTTATTAGTTAAGACTTAGAAATAGGAATGACATGGAGCCAATAGAGGACCCTTTAGATAACTTTCAAAAAGCCTATTAGACAGTTTCTTTATCCTGCCTTAAAAAAACTATAAAAGCTTGTTGAATCCTTTGTTCTGGGTCCTGGCATTTTGCTGGCTGGGACCCCTTTGGCTGAAGCACTTCAATAAAAAGACATCAATCTTGCACTTCATGTCTGATAGTCTTCATCAGCTTTGGGGCCAGGCTAAGACCTGAATTTGGGGACAACAGAATGGTCAGGATATTTTGTGGAATGTGCCTTTGGTTTAACATCTCTGCCCTTTGTATTTGTATTACATTTTACAATGGCATTAGTATGCCATGAGTTAGGTGTTACATTCCCTATTCTTTGTGTTGGTATGATTTTTTTTAACTATTTCAGTTAATTAAATTAAAAAGAGGGCTGTGAAAATATTTACAGACCCCTCACATCCTGGACATAAACTGTTTCAACTCCTTCCCTCAAAACGACGCTATAGAGCACTGCACACCAGAACAACTAGAGACAAGAACAGTTTTCCCCCCGAAAGCCATCACCCTGCTAAACAAATAATCTTCTCATCACTCCTTATCACCCATCCCCTCCCACTTCTGACTGTATGACTGTAACTTTGTTACTTGTATCCTTATGATTTATATTGACTGTTTCCTAGTATTTGATTGCTTATTGTACCCTATGACTATCATTAAGTGTTGTACCTTATGATTCTTGACTCTTGATGAATGTATCTTTTCTTTTATATATACTGTAAGATTTGCACTGAGACAAATTCCTTGTGTGTCCAATCACACTTGGCCAATAAAGAATTCTATTCTATTCTATTCTATTCTATTCTATTCTATTCTATTCTATCCTATCCTATCCTATCCTATCCTATCCTATTCTGACAGATCATCCATCACTCCAAATTCATTATTAGTGCTTCCACATGTGCAAATTGGTGTTAAGCATCAAGCAGCAAATAAACTTTCACATTATTCAATGGCACTTTATTACTACAAAAATGAGAAATACTGCGGTGACTGACTTGCCAGCTCCAAGAAATAGTATGGAAATTCAGAATTTTGATCAAGGCAGGACTTGGTTTATTTCATTGCCCTCTGGTGGCCCTAGCACATGTCTACAACATTGTGAGAACGGTTCATATTCCTATTTTTTTAAAAAAATAAATTTTATTAAACATTTTTAAAGAACCGTAAATACCAACACAACTAATATAAAATAGAAATGAAAAAGAAAAACAACAACACAAAAACAAAACTGCAGTAAAAATGAATAAAAATAAATAGAAGGGAGCTCTGCAGCAAATATAATTACAAAATTTTCCTTTATTGTATGATTAAAGAAAAAAAAGCTCACTTTTTTCTATTACCCATTTTTTTAAATAATCAAAACTAAAAG